CAGGTGAACGGCTGTTTTACCCCGATGGAAACGACAGGAGCTCCGGTTAGCTGCATCATGTACCATACCCGTTTGGTCTACATCTAGTCTCCTGTATCAGTACTACTGCGGTAGACAGTAGACTAGTCGCTGAAGGCACTGCTGTCGCAGGGTTTGCCGCCTAACGACCGGCGCGAAGCTGGCAAACATTCTATGAAGCACTCGACCACAGCAGTCGGCGACCCAAATGTAGTTCGGGACCCCAGACCGAGAGCTCTCAACGCGTTATCTGTGGAGTTCTCGGCACACAATACCTGTTCTTCGGCGTTTCCTGTGGTCTAATATTTATGCTGCCCCTTCGGCGTGTGCTCTGCAGTCTGCCGTGGTTTCACCTACATTCTCTACACAATCATCGGCGGGGACCACTCGCCTGCAGAATAGCAATGCTGCTGTTGCCCTATCTCCTCGTCTTTGTACAGTAGTGCGCGTTGTCCGCGTTCACCCCACCCGATTGTCGAGCACCCCGTTCTGAAAATACGTGATACAAAGGCGGAAATCTCATCTGCATATCACTACATCAAAAGTAACTGTAGGTACAATATATATTGTACATATCGTACGCGAGCGCCGACCACTTTTTGATAGCTGGCACAAATCGATGCTCACCCGCTAGGCCGTTCCATGGGCACAGCAGATCACAACTCTGGCCAACGAATGAGAACAGTTTACTTTCGATGCCCCTGCGAGACTGCCCTGTCCTTTCACACACATCAGCAACATGTCGCGCCTACACCCGCTAAACACACAAGTGTGTTTATTCAACCCCCCCCCGGCCGTGGTCCTTTCCCGTTTCAAAAGGACGCCAGCCATTGGCCTTTCACGGAGTCAACGACTCGTGTGGAGTCATGCATGTATATTTCGTCACATGGCCGGCGAAGTTCCGCCACACCCTTCAGTGTAACATTGTGCACGTTTCGCAGAATTCCAGAACCTACTTGATGCATCGCTTCTAACCCGATCTCAACGACGACATCATGATATTTTCAGTAGCCTCGCGGGCTATTCTGCATAAAGCAAACGCGTTGGATAAAGGGTTCAACCGGGGAGGTTGGGGTAGAGACCTAGGGTGTGGGTCCCCCTTCCGTATCTAAACTCATCGCACGAAGGCGGTCCTTATGTTTGCAGATGATCAACACCCCAGAACCGTCAGAATTATACCGTGGCGATGCATGGATAACCTACATTTTTGGCATGTGGCACAAGCTTCCATGGAAGTCAGTGTTGACTTCCATGTAAACTGTGGGCAGATTCCATGCAAGTCAATGGAAGCTTTAGACGCTTCCATGGAAGCAAACGTGATTTCCTTGGAGACCATACGGAAGCTGTGTGTCGGATTCAGGTACCATCTTCTATGATTCTTCCATGGAACGTACGGCGACTTCCATGGAATTCGGTCAGTTTCCATCGAAGCAGCGGGTATTTGCTTCCGTGGAAGTCGTATCGTTTACTTCCACGAACGAGCGAAGAGCTTTCGTGGAAGTCATGGCTTACATGGAAGTTCGTGCGTCGAACACCTCCCCAAAACTGCACGGTACTTTCGTGGAGGCACTTCACACACAGCACGAGATAGCTCGCTCTGTCGAGAAGCACGATGACCACTACACCACGAGTCAGCTGCAGTTATCGTGCTTCTCAACAAGAGGTAATTCCCGCGTCCGGTCTGGCTTTGCAGCCACGAACACGTCCCCCCAGGGTTGCCGTCCCTGTGATCAGCGCTGTCTTGCCCGGAGATCGCTCCCCACCGAAAACAACACCTGGTGCTATTAATAGACCAAAACGTATCCATCCCTAGTCAAACCATCGTGAAAAAGGTAGCCTTCGCCTTGTGCCCGTCCTTTTCGGGGGGTCCTGAAACCAAAAAGAAGCGGTTTGGGGCGTGTTGGGGTTTCAAGAAGAGTATTGGTTCCGTGAGATGTCCTCCAAGTTCTTCACGATGACGTCCATGGAGGAAGCGGGCATCCTATTGAAGGGTTGCTTTGGAAGGTTTCGTGCACGATTCCACCGTGGTAGTTCTCCACGATAACTTTCATGGGAGCTCGACTCCGGTGATAAACTTCCATGGAAGTTGTGCCATGAAGCTTTCATGGAAGGCGAAAAGTTAACTGCCATAGGAGCTAGTCGACTTCCACTAGCTTCTGCCAGGGCCGCTGTTGGACCTCCTCTACCTTTAATGCCACAGAAGTTCCCTAAGCGATCATGGAAGTCGCTTGCCGACGTTCCATGGAAATCAGACTCACCAACCTTCCATGGGAAGCTACGCATATTTGTCAAATCGCGTAGGAGGTCGCGCTGCATGGGGTTCTCATCTCCTCTGTGGTCTACCAACTGCTATTACCGTTAATGAAGGGGTTCCCCGAGTCAATAATATTTGTGTCGCTTGTCCGCCATTGTTCCACATTTCTTTGGCCAACCGGTTCTCATGTGGTCATATGCCTTGCGTAACGTTGGTATCCAAGCTAATGTGTCCTCCTGTTCCTATCCTTTTGGTCTCTTGGACCGTGTCGTTCAGGGTTTGTAGGCGATTTTGAGGCGGACGACGTAGGGACCAACCGTACCGTGTTGTGTGGATCATGGAGTCATCCTATGCGAAGAGGTTTCAGGATTCATGATTATTATCTTGTCTTCGTTGTATTTCTGCACGTCCCCAATCCCAAGTGTAAACGATCTCTGGCTCTCCTCAATTCACTCCCCCCCCAAGAAGTATACTGATAAGTGGAGATTGTCTGCCAACGTTAAGAAGAGTGCCGTCATGGTATGCAACGAGAACAAGGAGGAACCAGTAGAACATTGATGGAAGTGGGGGATCAAGGAGATTGCAGTAGAGGACCAGTACACATACCTCGGAGTAGAGATCGCAAAAGACTGCTCGTGGAATGCACACATGTCCAAGGTAGCGGAAAAGGGCAAAGCACGAGCAGGGAAGCTGCACCCAATACTCGCAAACCGGCACCTCGATACACGCATCAAATTGACGGTTTTGAAGAGCGTAACCGTACAGCCGCTACAGTACGCCGGAGAAGTATGGGAAGGAAATAAGAAGGTAGTGAAAGAACTCGAGGCGGCGCAGATGAAAGCAGCGAAAACCATCCTAGGATGCTCCAGGCGCACAAGTAATGCAGCCGTGAGGGCAGAATTGGGGATCCAATCCCTACGGTCGGGAAGAGACGCGAGGAAGCTGACATTACAGTATCGCATGTGCGGGATGGGAGAGGTTGCCTAGAATTTTATGGAATG